TGAGCTGGATTAATTAGAGGGGGTGAATTAATTAAAGGGGTGGTGAATTAATTAAAGGGTGGGCTGGATTAATTAGAGGGGGGTGAATTAATTAATGGGGTGGTGAATTAATTAAAGGTTGGGCTGGATTAATTAGAGGGGGTGAATTAATTAAAGGGGTGGTGAATTAATTAAAGGGTGGGCTGGATTAATTAGAGGGGGTGAATTAATTAAAGGGGTGGTGAATTAATTAAAGGGTGGGCTGGATTAATTAGAGGGGGGTGAATTAATTAATGGGGTGGTGAATTAATTAAAGGTTGGGCTGGATTAATTAGAGGGGGTGAATTAATTAAAGGGGTGGTGAATTAATTAAAGGGTGGGCTGGATTAATTAGAGGGGGTGAATTAATTAAAGGGGTGGTGAATTAATTAAAGGGTGGGCTGGATTAATTAGAGGGGGGTGGATTTATTAAAGGGGGGGTGGATTAATTAAAGGGGGGGTTCAATGTACATACCGGTACCGTAAATAAATAAGCCCTACCCTGAAAATAAGCCCTAGTGTGTTTTTTGTGACTAAAATTAATATAAGACCCGGTCTTATTTTCGGAGAAACACAGTATCTCATTCTACCTAGAATGTCTCATGAAGTATAATCGTGTGACACAATTGTCCTCAGTGCTATGTCAATGTATCAATCACAAATGCTTAATTCAAAAGTTGGCTATGCCCTCTACTTTTATTTTGTTAGTTTTAGTGATATAATAATATTTAGCTGCTTTGGCAATAAATCCAATGATTTTCAAGCAGCCTCGTAAAAATTCATCATAGGAGGCTAGAACTAGATTATCAAATACAGCCTACCTTTGCACTTACTTTTTATTATCTTTTCCTTGGTTATATTCACAATATGCCCAATGTGGATAACATATTAGCAAAGTCAATGGTTATTACATTTAAAGCCAAGATGGTTTTATGTAATTTGGGATGTGCCTTTACATCCCCTTTGGGACGAGTTAGAATTTATCTAGACTGAACAGTACATAGTACGTTTTGCAACAGTCATTCTTGAGCTTTCAATATAAAAAAGAATGAAAATGACAAAGTATTTAAATATTAAAGATAATAAAAAAAGGCTTATTTAACTTTACAACTTCCTTTTATGAACATTAGTGTTTTTCCTGGCATCTTCCCAAAGTAATAGAATATAAGTAGGATATACATTGCGTGGCCCCTTTGTTAACACCTGCCTATTAATGCTAATAGCTAAACAGTGAGTCATACAGCTGTAACTCAATATATAAAGCAGTATATAGACACGGTCAAGAGGGTTAGTGGCTGCTCGACCAAACATGAGAATGGCGAAGACGATTGATCTAAGTAACTTTGGCATGATTGTTGGTGCCAGACTTAGTGGTTCCAGTGTGTCAGAAACAGCTGACCTTCTGGGATTTTCCTGCTCTGCAGTATCAATTGTTGACAGAGAATGTTGCGATAAACAAAAAACATTCAGCAAGCAGTTTTGTTAACAAAAATATCTAGTTAATGGAAGAGTTCAGAGGAGAAATGCCAATTTCATTGAAGTTTGTAGAATGTCTACACAATTTACCACTTATTATTATTATTATTATTATTATTATTAATATAGTACCTACATATTCCAAAATGATATGCAGTTTGCATTCAGGAAAAGAAGACAATGTAGTGTTTATTGCTGTGTTATGTCAATAGTCAGGGTGGTGAATTTTAGTTCCTTAATACTAGTTAAGCAACATTGCAATGCCTACATGTGCATTGTTCTGACCTTGTACATACGTTTAGCATCAATACCTACTCAGCAACAAATTGGACTGGGTAGGATAATGCTCACTGTGTTACAAAGCATACATTGCTTTACATCAAGCATGTCAAACTCGAAGGCTAACACGGGTCAAATAAACAAGGTTTAAGTTTATGTGGGCCACAAAAAAAAAAGAGTGGCAATGTTTATGTGGGCCACAGGTGGCACGCCGAGCCCTCTCTGTGGGCACGCGGCCATAGGTCGCCGGGAGAGGGGGCCGCTGGCTGTCTGCAGAGTAGGCACCTGCGTGCCCGAAACGGCAGGCGCCTACTTTGCTTCCATGTCGGGAGGCAGGGGGAGGGCTCTAGGAAGCAGCTCTCCTGTCCTCCCGCGCGATGCTGTGTGAAGCATTGCCGCACGTGGAGTACAGGAGAGCTGCTTCACAAAAACCTACTTACCACCACCAGACCACCAGTGATAGTTGTGTGTCCCCCCCCCCCCACTCCTTTACCAAAGGTAAGAGGGAGGGAGGGGGGGGATACAGAATTAATAAATATTTATATATTTTTAATGTACTACCCCCACACCCACACCACCCCTACCTCATACACCACACTTTCACTACACAGCACCTACCCCACACAGCACCTCTTACGCACACACACACTTCCCACACACACACACACTGCATCCCTCAGACACACACTGTACCCCTTAAGACACACACACACACACACTGCACCACTCAGACACACACACAGCACCCCTCAGACAGACACACACACACAGCACCCCTCAGACACACACACAGCATCCCTCAGACACACACACACACACAGCACCCCTCACATACACACACACACACACATACACACACAGAGCACCCCTCACACACACACACAGCACCCCTCACACACACAGCACTCCACAACCTTATACACAAACACATACACTGCACCCCTTAATGCAGTATGTGTGTGTGTATTCAGCAGTCTGTGTGTGTGTGTATATTCAGCAGTCTGTGTGTGTGTGTGTGTGTGTGTGTGTGTATTCAGCAGTCTGTGTGTGTGTGTGTGTGTGTATTCAGCAGACTGTGTGTGTGTACTCAGCAGACAGTGTGTGTGTGTGTGTACTCAGCAGTCTGTGTGTACTCAGCAGTCTGTCTGTATGTGTATTTAGCAGCCGGTGTGTGAATGTGTTCAGCAGTCTGTGTATATATTGCATTTGTTGGAGATACTAATAAATATGAGCTTAATTTTATCTATTTATATCATTATTTAAAATTTGTATCATTGAACTCTCTGTTGTGTTCTTTTTTAAAAAAAACAAAGTTGTTAATTAGTTCGGACAACTGTTCGAGTTGTTTTTTCTAAACTTAAACCTCAGTATTCAGGTTTAATTGCCGTGTTGGTTTGGGCACTCGGCCTCAAAAAGGTTCGCCATCACTGACCTAGACTCACACAAACTAAAATTACTTGTATCATTCTAATGTAAACAATATGTAATCCTGGGTACATATCTATAATTTACTCAGTAAGTTACTTGAAGTGAAACTTTATGTCTCCCCCCAATCTAATACACAGTCTCCCACCGCCCTGCCCCCCACTCTAATACACTGCTCCCACCACTCTAAATTAATACACTGCCCCACCTCCCTTTCCCCAATTTAATAAACTGCCCCCTCACTTTAATAAACTGCTCCACCTCCCTCCCCCCAATTTTATACATTGCTTCCACTCCCTGCCCCCCAAATTTAATACATTACACTACAGGAGGGTTCCCCCAAGCTCGATTTCACCTACCCTAAGCCGTCTTCTAGTCCAGCCCTGCATGATCTTCTCTGCTCAAGCAATCCACACGCTCCACTTGCACTGCGAGCATCAGGAATGGGAGAGTAGCTGGCCTGCTCTGCACGCAATCAGCCACTCTGTGCACTGTAGCACCGCTGTGCAGCTGCCAGATATGATTCCATATGATGGAGCACGTGATCAGCCGCGGCCCGTGGGAGGACCACAGCACAAAGCCATCCCAGGGCAGACAGCCTACCTGGAAATTTCCAGGTATCCCAGTAAGCCAGTCTGACCCTGGGCCGCAAAGATACCCATTGTGGGCTGCATGTTTGACATGCTTACCTTACATTGATTTCACTAACAGAGTGCTCCAATGGACAGTTACTAAATCCCAAACAATCTTTCAGAACTATTTTTAGAACACCTACCTCATATTAAAAATATGGGATTTAGTCAAACTAAATAATACTTTTATTTACATAGTTGTGAAAATACTACTCTAACGGACTATATTTGGAGTTAATTATGCAGCACAATGTGGTGGCATTGCTGTGAGTGCCGGCTTTGATGTTCTGGGTGCAGCTTTAATGCTGCAGGTTTGTGTTTAATGCAGCAAGTGCAGGATTAATATAGCCTGATGTGGGTTAATACATTAGGTGAAGAATTTATAAATATAGGTTTATATAATACTCTGCATTTATTCAAAGGTTTACTGTCATAATGTGATTCATAGAACACATTGGGCTTGTATGTTTTGTTTTGTTATTTTGCCAACTAGCAAATCCCAGACTCTTATACAACTGGTCTATGTATAAACCAACAAAAGTAGATGCTTGAATTTTATAACATGACAGGAGGCTTCATATCTGCTTAAGTCTCTCTTTACTAGAACTCCACAGCAGCACATTAACATAGAGATAAAAAGACCAGAGAAAAAAAAATCAGGAATCTATAAAAGGCTTCTCCCAACTGACTATTTCCTCTTTCTTTGCTGCTCCGCAGTCAGTACAGGTCAGGGTACCACTGCCTCCTGTTATATATGGATGGTTGTGGATATTTTACTGTATTTATATGTTTATTACTGTATTGATTTATTTATTTAGAGGGTATTTTTGCATCTACCTACTTAGTGCTGTAGGGATTGATTTATTTAGCTAATCTGTATTTTCTACACCCACCTGCTTAGTGCTGTAGTGATTGCTTGATTGATTGATTTATTTACTCTGTTTTTCTGCATCTACCTTCTTATGGCTGCAGGGATTTATTTGTTTAGAATGTGTTTACCTTCCTACTGCCGTTATAATTTATTTAATTAGATTGTATTTTCCTGTCCCTACTTTTTTGCTGTAGGGATGTATTTTCTCTTATGACTTTTCTGCATTTTCCTTTTTTGGGCCCCCCGTCTGTGGATCGTTTTTTTCTCGGATTTGGGGGGAGTTTCCTTTTTCCCTCCCTCTACCTTTTCCGGGTGGCTTTGCCCCCTTCACTCTTCGTCCGTTTTGCGGCCGCCAGAAAGCGGTCCTCCGACCACTTTCCGTTGCCGACCGCCGGGACCCCGGAGTAAGACTCCAGTGGTCCCACGTATTGGATCCCGCCCGCCGGCTCCGTCTGCCGAGCGAGATCCTCTGCTTCCACCCCACATGCTTCCGCTCGCAGTATAACTGCTTCTGTGGCGTGGGTGTGGGTTACCTTCCCATGCAGTGCGGCAGCCCCGCGTATCCACTTCCCCACAACCGCGTGGTCAGGTGGGGCCGGGGCCGGCCGTTACCAGATTTACTGCATTAGTTCCATCGATGGCAGGCACATGTGCTGTAGCTTTGGCTGGAACTCAGCTATGACTTGGGCGCATTGCACCCTCAGGCTCTCCTGGCTTTGTGCCCCATGTGGCTGGCAGGTTAGGCTACTGGGGGCCATAGTGGATGATATAGATCACAGGCATGCTATATAGAGCTGTGCACAACCCTTCAAGGGTTACAGGCACAACTGGCAGTGTTACCACTTATACTCATCCCCTCCTTTTTTTGTTTGTTCAGATGATTGCTTGCAGCGCTCTGTTTTATCATATTGACCAATGGAGCACCTCTTGTGATGTAACTCAGTTGGTGAGTTCCCTGACTACAGGTGTACTCAATATGCAAGTTCACTATTTACGGAGTGTCAGGCACTGAAGTGCGTTATCTACAGTTACACAATGGAATGCTAGGTAGTCACACAGAAGAATGCTATGTGCAGTTACACAGTAATATACTATGTGCAGTTACACAGTAATATACTATGTGCAGTTACACAGTAGAATGCTATGTACATTTACACAGAAGAGCGTTATGTACGGTTACACAGAAGAGCGTATTGTACGTTTGCACAGAAGAACGTATTGTACGGTTACACAGAAGAGCGTATTGTACGTTTGCACAGAAGAACGTATTGTACGGTTACACAGAAGAGCGTATTGTACGGTTGCACAGAAGAACGTATTGTACGGTTACACAGAAGAACGTATTGTACGTTTGCACAGAACGTATTGTACGTTTGCACAGAAGGAAGTATTGTACGTTTGCACAGAAGGACGTTATGTACAGTTGCACAGAAGGACGTTATGTACAGTTGCACAGAAGAGTGTAGTGTACATTTTATCGGAAGAATGGAATGTGTAGTTCACCTGTACATCTCTGAAGGTCCTGACTTGTCTGTGCCCCAGGACTTGACCGGCTTTGTCCATGCCTTACTGATTGGCCTGCTCTGCCTATGCCCCATTGATTGGCCTGCTTTGTCTGTGCCCATTGATCTGGCCAGAATGTCTGCATGCCAAGCCTACTGCCACATGCTCGCGCTTGTGCATTGCATGCTCTGCCCAACTTGCCTTGGTCACTATATGGGGTGCTGCCCCTATCTCCCTGCTGGTGACACTTGTCCTCTATACTCCTTGAGGTTGCTTTGCCTGGGACCGCTGCACAGGAGAACCCTTATCCGGCTTAACAGCGCAGACAATGACTACTATGTCAGTGACCGCCTCCGTGGAATTAGGCTTCAGCCAGGGTCCTCCCTTAAGCTTATCAGGAGCGTAACGCTAGAGGGCCCACCTTTAAAACGGCAGACGACTTGAATGAGTCAGACTCTCCTAGAGGAGAGCAGGCAAGTGCGCATGAGCGCTACTGGAAGGGTGAATGCCCTGAACCAGGCTCCTAGAAAGACAAGACTCCGAGGAGCGACTAGCCCCTCTGCAATCGGGCAGACGGCCCTGCCTATATGGTGCGGGGGAGGCGATGACCACGGGACGCGGCAGTGACCATCTTCTTAAAAAGGCAGACGACTTGAAGGAGTCAGACTCTCCGAGAGGAGAGCAGGCAAGGGCGCATAAACACTACAGGTAGGGTGAAGGCCCGGAACCAGATGCCCTGAAAGATTAGACTCCGGAGAAGTGTCTAGCCCTGATACGATCGGCCTTCACGGCCAGACGACACTGCCTATGTGGTGCAGGGGTGAAGGTTCCCGTAACCCCCTCACCACCACCATGGCTGCCCTAGCTGAATGGCGGGCGGTCCAGTTCCCCTCGGAGGGAGAGGACGATGGGGGTGTGGATGACGGCCCCTAGTGGCACCATGAGATGTAGAACAAAGTCCACTACAGTGGCGCCCGACGAACGTGGAAGAAGAGGTCGTCTCGTGGATCGCCTTAAACGGACCCCTGTTCGACCCTCGATCCATTGCTCACCTGGCTTCTTTGGAATGGTCTCTGCCTGATCACCTGGCACCATCGGTGCGTTTCTGGGCCCGTAGACCGCTGGCTTAAGAAGCCCGCAGGATAATTTGAGCTGTATTCCCAGCCGGGCTTCTGAACAAAGTAGCCGCAAACCCAGACTTAGACCCCGGTGGGGCACTGCAGTTTTGCTGGTTAAGCATCTGTCTAGTATTCAGGAGATCCTGAGTGCGGCCCACTGCAGTGCCTATACTATTAAGTCCTCACTGGCAAGCCAATTGTTCTCCGCTACACAAGTGAGTTGTGCTAGCAGAACATACAAGGAAGTATAAAATGTGTCCTTTTTTACATGGAAAACTTGACGGAGGCTTATCTCAGCTCCAACCCGTACCTTTTATAGGGGATTGGATCATTGACCCGGAATTTCACACTTGCCTCCAATTCCAGATGATATCCCAGACGGGGCCCCAAGTCTGGGGTGGCAGATGAACCTATCCTAAATGCAATTTTTGGACCACTGGAGGTGCTTGGGAAAGGGATCTGAGCCCCTCGGAGTCCCAGCACGAGTCTACGATTGAACGTATATTCATTAATATTTTGAATTAGACGCGGCCCTCAAGAAACTTCTAGGGACCGCGGTGCCTAGTTCTGGTAAGGTGGCCTCTATTTTCTCCCTGGCGAGATAGGTATCTTATGCATCAGTCATTTGGGCGATGATACAACCTGTTTGGCAGGTTGGGAGGATTTGAGGACATTCAGGAATACCAGAACTATCTGAAGAGATTTTTCTCATTTTTCAAACGTTGGGACCTGGACGCGACTCTTCATCGATATAGGACATCTTGCTGTACGGTCTACTTAGAAGGGCTTGCTGGACCCCCTGAGAGGTACCTCCCAGACCGAAAGGTCAGAGGCTCCCTGCGTTTTTCCTTGTTCAAGTCCCTGGATTTCGTTTTCAACCAGGGAAATATTGACCTCCTCTACATCTCAAGGAGTAGAGTCCTGAAGGGCGGATTGGACGCAAGGGGGTGCCTCCTACGCTCTCCTCTGCCCGAGTTCTTGTATGTATGGAATAGTTTTCTCTGGGAGGACCCGGCGTCAAGACTTTAGTCCACGGAGGAGGACCCATCAGGCTCGACCAGTTCGGCTGGATGACGGACCCGTTTGCTCAGCGATGGACGCTTCCCTCCAGGAGTGTTCGACACAGAGACGCGGACGAGTCTCCTCTGTTATCTCTATGTTAATGTGCTGCTGTGGAGTTTTAGTAAAGAGAGACTTAAGCAAATATTCGCCTCCTGTCATTAATAAAATTAAGATTATAGTTACACTAAAGCTAGTATAATCTACAATTTTGTGTTAAAACTGTTTCTATTAGACACAGCCTTGCTAATTGAGATTTTCAGTACAAAGCCGTGTGTGATATTTGGCCATGTTGGCTCAAAATAAAACATAAGTTCCTCCACAAATGGAATACCCCAGGTGACACTGAGTTTTTTTTGGGGTAGTAGATTATAATAACATTAGGTGACCTTGCTCGTGCAGCCTGCTGTCACATGCAAATCTCATAATGAAAAGGGCCCCTGGCTTGTTAGGAAGATTTCAGTGACGCATTTCATTAACTGCATTCTGTTAAGCCATGGATATTTTCTCTGTAATATAAGTGTTGAACACATATGCCATCACTCATCTATTTTCTGTTTAGCAACTGTTCCTGCGTATCACATGAATCTACAATCTATAGAATGCAATTGACACTGTCTGTTGTGTAATATGTGTTCTGAGTGGAAACTTAACATGCTTAAAGGGACACGATAGTCACCAAAACAACTTTAGCTTAATGAAACAGTTTTGGTGTATCGATCATGCCCCTGCAGCCTCAGTGCTCAATTCTCTGCCATTTAGGAGTTAAATCACTTATGAACCCTAGTCACACCTCCCTGCATGTGACACACACAGTCTTCCATAAACATTTCCTGTAAAGAGTCATCTAAAGTTTATCCTTTCTTTATTGCAAGTTCTGTTTAATTTAGATTTTTTCTTATCCCCCTGCTATGTTAATAGCTTGCTAGATCCTGCAAGAGCCTCCGGTATGTGATTAAAATTCAATTTACCGAGCAAGAGATAAAAATTCTTGAAGGTAAATTACATTTGATTGAAAGTGAAACCAGTTTTATTTTCATTCAGGCTGTGTCAATCAGAGCCAGGGGAGGTGTGGCAAGTGCTTTATAAACAGAAAAAAAGTGATTTAACTCCTAAATGGTAGTTGATTGAGCAGTGAAACCTGAGACGCATGATCTACACACCAAAACTGCTTAATTAAGCTAAAGTTGTTTAGGTGACTATATTGTTTCTTTAATGCTGTCTTGTGACAAAATAAGCTATTTATTTTGTAGTCTAGTTTTAAAACAGTTATTTCCAACTCTGTTCCCAATTATAATTCCTATAATCCACTAGTTGGCAGATAATTATTGGGAAAATAGTCCCATAGCAGATGGAGTGCCATGGTTGATTCTCTGAGCTCTAGAGGTAGCTGTTCTTTCTCTAGATCACAGATGATTTCTCTTTTGCATGTATAGACAATAAAAGTAAAGAAAGGTAATGTAATTATTAACCTCCTGAAGCAGGGGGCACCATGTGGCCGGCACAGCTCACACATTCTCTGGGTGATACGTGTGCAGGGAGCTCTCCTATAATGCAGGAGTGCTATAGGGACCGTGGCCACACAGCACCCGGGGAGGATTTAATTATAATTGCTTCATGCATGGTGGGGGCAGGGCTAAATGGGTTAGGGCGGAGCTACATGCAGCCAGAACCTGTGAACTCTGGGAGATGCATGAAGAAGTCTCTGCTCCCCAGACACCTAAACACCAGGGACTGCAGTGCCCCTGTTTCTCCAGTCAGCACATAATAGAAGCAGGTACCTCTGTGTCTGTGTGAGAAGCTGTGTGTGTGTGTAAGAGAGAGACTGTAACTGTGTGAGTGTGTGTGTGTAACTCTCTGTAAATGTGTGTATGTGACTATCTAATTGTGTGTGAGCCTGTCTGTAACTTTGTGTGTGTGAAAGAGAAATTGCATAATTGTGCGTTTGTGACTTTCTGTGACCGTGAGTGTGTGTGAGACTGTCTGTAACTGTGTGTGTAAGAGAGACTGCCTATAACTGTGTTTGACTCTACCTGTAACTGTGTGTGCATGTGTCTATCTGCTTGTAGCTGTGTGCA